TAAACACAAAAGCACAGTACAATTCAACACAGAAGAGAGATCCATGAATTTTACTCGGGAAGAGGATCCCATAACAAGAGAGTAAACAGAAGCAGATTCGGAACTAAAAGAGGAATAAAAGGATTCACTTCGCTCACCAATTTCTTCCTCCTTAGCCTCTTCCTCGCATACTCTCTCCTCTCCTCTCTTCCCCATTTTCCTTCCTCAACTCCGGCCGCCATAACCGCCGGCGGCGGCTGATAATAGGGGCAATTCGACCTCCACGAGGTATCAGGAAGCTCCAATCTCGATGCCCTTTTGAGGAATTGAGAAACCCACCATTGACGGAGATGCGTCCGCGAATAGACCGGAGGGTAATCCCACGAGAGGTAACATGGGACTAGGGCTCCGATGAAGAATTGAGAGTAAAGAGATGGTTTTGTTGTTGGGTTTGTGAGGATGTGAGTCACGGCTTGTAGTCTCTGTTCCCATGTCGTCTCCTCCATTGTTTAAAGCTTTTTTGGTTTCAATAGTTTTGGATTAGGATCGAGAGGCAGAGAGAAGAAGTTGATGTTGGGACTCTTCCGGTTTAGTTAGTACCGGGAATTGAATCGGAATACCAGTTCTTGTTCTTGGTATTACAACAGTGAACATAATTCGTCGGTTCAATATTTCTTTGTTATTGAACGAGTTTATTAGATAGGATTTAATGGTTTAATAAGAATTTTGACAAATACACAAAGCAGGTCATAATGACGATGACACAAAAAAAGAAGGAACCAGAAACAATCAAAGTCAATACATTGTAACTTCAACCTAAACCAAAAAAAAAAAAAACAGTCTTGCAACGAAGCGACCAAGTTTGCAATAAACTTGTAACATCCGAAAGTTAGTAAGCCATCATCATCACAATAAATCAACTAAAATAACAACTTACTTAGGCAACAAGCAAACAGAAACCAAAGAACCAACCCTAGAGAGCAATGTCTAGCAACATATCTCTCATGGCATATATGTCTCTTCCCTGTGAATGATGATGATTGCTTTGAACAGCAGAAGCACCTTTCATGGAATTCACATTTTGCCCTTCAACACAAGGGACAACCATCGCTGATGCAACCGCCGTGGTGGCCTCATCCGTCAATGGGAAACCAAACAGCCTGCACCTGCCTGAATCCCCGTGATGGTCCTCCGGACGTCCGTCAGGACCGCTCGGATTTGGTATCAAGACGGAAGAGGGTGATGATGACACATGGACTGGAGATGGCGAGAGGATACGGGTGCTGAAATTCTGATACGGACCACACCAAATGTTCCTCTGGCTCAACCCGTGCGGGCGATGATCAGTCATTGAGTAGGCAGGAACTGTTTCTTGACCTTGCAAAACCTTATGGAACCCGAAAGAATCACCAAATTCCGCTCCTTTAAAGCGGCCTCTCCTGGCACCGGCACCACTATCCGAAGAAGTGTTGATAAAACCCGGAAAAATTTCTTGACCTTGCAAGACCCTCTGGAATCTTAAAGATTCCTCAAAGTCCGTGGCGCGAATCCCCTCTGAAATAGAAGCAGAAACCAATGAAAACGTTAATAATAAATACCAGAGAAGTATAATTAGCGATATGTTTTGCAAGTAGATGTGTAGTACCAGAGACAGGAATGTCAGGCTTTCCTGAGGAAAAGCCAATCCTGCTTCTCTTGGGACCAGTTGTTATGAAGCTGCCTGAATTGGAGATTGAACCAGACGGTTCGATCTCCCATGGTGAGACACGCTGTTGATGCCCATTAGCTTCAACATCATCCCACCTTACCTGAATACGAAGCCAAACTACAGTATCAGTGCGAGCATCACGCTTATGGATATATATAAAACAAGCAACAATCTTATAGGTGACCTCTCAAACTAAACTAGTGACTACTTAAAAGATCATAATTCATAGCTTACCAAAAGGCATCTCCATTTCGAACCAGGCCACCTGATAGGATCCAAGTCGCTGATTCCAGTTATAATCCCAGGGGATCTGACAAAACAGGCGAAAACATTTAAGAAAGATGGGCATATAAAAACTCAGGTGTTGCAAGGTTCTCTTAAAAGCTTGAGCTATAACCTTCTCTCAGAAGCATCTTCAGATTCAACCCTTGCTTTGAATCTCATACCGATACAAAATGGATAGTTAACAATCTTCAAGAACTTGGGTGCAGGAATTATGAAGTTTGACCAGCTTGCCCTGAGGAGGTTTTACCAAATGTGACAATTGCAATTCCAGTAAAGCAGTACAAATGCATGTTTCATGGCATTCATTTGTATTAACAAACACCATATATTACTGTCACCGAGACTTGGATTGAAATCACTCCCAGGAAACAATCAACAAGAAAAAATACACAACTAAGGCCTCAGGAGATAGCAATTGTGATTCCGAATAAATGTTTGAAAATGCAATATCGTTATGGTCAAAAGCTTACTTGGGGTTGTAGTAAATGCTGAAAACGCTATGGATCGATATGGCATGAGCTACTTCAGAGAAATTGTTGTGGTTCATATTCTGAGTATACTGAGTCGAGAAAGCAGAAGCGCCTTCGATTTGAGCAGCTCTTCTAACTCCGAGCCGCAGTTTGCCATCATCACCTCTAAACCAGAGAAACACATATCACAAACCCTCTAACAGGGAAATCGAAACGGTATTGTAGGTAGAAGACAGTCAGAACTTTCTTACTACCTTAGAAAAAGCACAGCATCTCCAGAGACAAGCTTCTTCTTGTTCACAAACGCACTCCACCCGGTAGTGAGCAAATGCCTCCTCGGTTGCCCTACAAGAAACTCAAACCATTCGATTCATCATCTATCATCTTAAAAAGCAAGCAAAAGCAACAAATTTACCTCGGTATATGTGGCGAAATCGCCACTCAAGGCCATGAAGATCCCTTGCAAGAAGCTCCTGAGAAGGCCGTGGCTGGCTATAGTCCTACATAACAGTATGACTACAAAGTTAACCTGAATTGTCTCAGACAAACAATGTGCGATGCTAGAGAGGTCTGTTTAGTGTAATGTTTCTAGTACCAGAGGAGGGAAGCAATCCTCAGCAGCTCGGCGAGGAACAGAGAAGCCTCCATGAGTGCTAGTATCAGAAGCAGTGAGGGTTTTGCAGAACATGTGAGGAGTATTTGATCTCTTAAGCACTTCATAATCTTCCTCACCACCATCAACATCTATAATTCCCTCACGCACTCTCCTCTCAATGTCCTGTAGACAGTAATCAACTCAACTCTCTGACTCCCTTGTTACAAGACTCAGAGCAAAAGAAACAAAACACTCACCTCGGACTCAGGAAGAAGAGAGACTTGAGCATAAACTTCATCTGTAGCTGTCTCTGCCTACGAAATCAAAAATGCAGACAGTTTTAAGGGATTTCAAATGTTCTAAAATCGACTGCCATCAAATGCGTTACGAGAGAGAGCAAAAGGGGAAATTTTCTCCTAAATCAATTGCCCAAGTTTTCAAAATTCTTCATAACAGTCAAATTCGTAAGAAACGAAATGCAAAAATGGAAACTTTACCAAAAGAAAAACGTTTCTCCAAGAATTCCTAAAAGAACAGAAGAAGAAGAAATTTCACAGGGGAAATAAATAAACATAAATTCCTTTGTCTGAGGCACAAATCTCCATACTTGTATCGAAAACCCCAAACTCAGATTCACCAAGAATGAAAAAACAAAAAATCAAATTTTTGTTGTCCCCCGAGAGAATCAAAGAGTCAGTAAACAAAACCCATATCTCTGTTGTGAGAATTATAATTGAAAAAAAAAGCTTTGTTTTGTGTTTGAGAAGAGAGGAAACATAAATAGACAGAGAGAGAGATACATGAAGCTTGACATCGAGAATACGACAGAACACGTGAGGAGTAAGCCCGTAAATCGCGGCGGAGAAATCGGGGGCTTGTTCCAAATGTCCCTGAGGGAAATACAACACAAGGCTTCCTCTTTTAGGGAGAGAGATAAGGGGTCCAGCACAAGCATGCCAAAGCTCCAGACAAACACCACCAGAGCTTGAAAACGCAGACGCTGAGGAAGACGACGAAGGAGAGAGCGACCCAGAACCTGAAGAAGGCGTTTGCTTTTGCGTTTCTTCTTCCTCCGTCTCCATTACGTTCAGATCGATTAAACCACCCATC